TGTTGAACTTGTCAAAACTTATAAAAAACTTGTAAAACCTTATAACTTGTAAAAACCTTATAAAATAGCTTGTAAAATCTTATAATATCTTATAAATACCTTGTAAATACGTTGTAAAACCTTTTAAAATACATTGTAAAACCTTATAAATACCTTGTAAAAAACCTTTAAAATACCTTGTAAATTTTTGGCGGGAAAAATTTTCCCGCCAAAAACTTAACGCCAAAAAAATTGCGGAATCACTTTTCCCGCAAAAAAAAATTTTTGGCGGGAAAATTTTTTGGCGGGAAAAAATTTTACGGGAAAATTTTACAAGGTATTTTAAAGGTTTTACAAATTTTTACAAGTGTTTTGGCGGGAAAAATTGGGGGATCACTTTTCCCGCCAAAAAATATTTTGTATTTTGTGGACCTAATTTTGTTATATTTCCTTATATATTTATGATATCTTTTATTAAAAGAAGGGTAATTTAGTCATTTTGTACATAAAAGGGGTATTTTTAAAAATGGACATCCAAAGGGGGCATTTTTGAAAAGGGGTATTAAAAAAGGGGCATTTTTGTGAGTCTCCCTAAATAATATAGTAAAAAATATGAATTTTTTTCTATGTCCAAATCACATTAAACAAGTCTCTATCTATATATTATGAAAAATGATGAATTTTGGTGTAAATTATTTATGTATATAAAATAATTTATTATAAAATAATTGAGTTTAAGTAATTAGAATGAAAAGAATATATCAAAAACCTTAATAGCCAATGAAATCACAGCACATAGCAAATCCTACCCCACCCAACCAAAATTCACGGTGTTGATAAATTACAACACCAAATTTGCCACGTCCTTTACAACATTTATTAAAACAACCATTGCACTATCTTTACCTGTTGAATACTTTTTTCAACATACCCATTGTAAGTAGTCTTAGTGAGTTAGCTTATATATATTCCTTTATAACTGTTCAATCATTGTGGATTCTCTATTATCATTGAATAGTTGTTTTATATAAGTAGTATGAAACGCTAATACGTGCACTTTCTTAATTATTTGTTTTAAATAAGTATAAAAAGTAATTTAAAAAAATCTAATATCATTCATATCAAAGAAAAAGAATATGAAGGATACATAACGTGGACTATTGGACCGTATATGTTCAACCTGACCCTGTCTCACTTTTTTTTTTTTTTAATAAAATCCTGTCTCATTTGAACTTCTGTTTATTGATATGTTTTGGTCCTTAAATCTTCATTTTTATTGAACACGCCTAACTTTTTTTTTTTTTTTTAACAAACATGCTTAACTTTTATCTGAAGTAATAAACCGGAAAAAAAAAAACAAAAAGAAAAAGGAAGACAAAAAAAAAATCGTCAGCTTTGGAAATATGTGGTTGTGAGAAATGTTTATAAGACAATTGAATACAAAAATGAATAAAGTCGATAATATACACGACACGAAAGTCAAAGTGCATTATCTCTTTTTTGTTTTGTTTTTTTAGGGTATACTTTTTTCTAGAAGTGTCCCATTGGCCATTAGGAAATTTGAATCCAAAGAAGCGGCATTTTCTATTTCACTGTCTCACAAAATCTCTTCAAGTTCCTCATCGTAACTCGTACCCCTAATTTCAAAATCCTCTCCACACTATTCCCCTGTAAGCTCTAATCGACAAAATCTGGGGGTTTCTCCTCTCAACAAAATCAAGTCCAGGTCAGTAATCTATCTCTCTCTCTCTCTGATTTAGAGTTTACAAATCTACGGTTCTGAGTTATGTTTTGGTTCTCTGATTTAGGGTTTTCTTCTGTTCATATGTTAGATGGATTTAATCACAGAAACAGAATCAGAGATTGTTGCTGATTCCTCCTTGTGGCTGCATAATTCTAAATCATTAGCAGAAATATTAACAGGTATTAGTATCTATTTTTGTTCCTGTCCTGTCTTATTTGGTTTTTCTGTTCAAAACACAGCTTAACATAGACATATATATATTTCTGCATCCTCAGAGATAAATCAGAATGTTCAAAGAATGCTAAGAATGATTGAAGATAGTGAAGAACCTGAGTCAACGGAGAAATTTCTGTGCTTATATCAGTCTCTCGGTGAAACTTACAATGATTTGAACCAGGAGCTCCTCAACGGCCTTCTCAAACTGCCATGTTCCCTTGTAACTTCAATGGGGGCATTGAGCTCCTTTAAGCCTGATATGTCTCCTGATTTGGAGTCAGGAACATCTTACTCATCACTGAAGCACCAACTGGTCTCAACAACGAGTAGCGAAAAGTCGCAGAGCTTGAAACTACATGGTGAGGTTGAGAAGAACGACTCTGCATTTTTGCTTGCTGATATGTTTTGTGCCGAGCTTGAAACTGCACGGAGGGAATTAGAAGCAAGAAACATAGACATTGAAACTGAGAAAAGACATGTGCTTGACTTAGAAGGTAAGCTATCAGATTCAAGTCACAAGATTGAGAATTTGGAAAGCGAGCTCGACGAGGTTAAAGAGTGTTTAGGTGTGTCAGAAGCCGAAGTTTCAAAGCTAATGGAAATGTTGAGTGGATGCAAGACAGAGAAAGCGAAACCGCAGACCGATAATGCTGATGACTTTTTAGATAGCCTGAGAACAGAGTTGAGATCAAGAGAAATACAAATTGAGCAAATGGAGGAGTATTTGAACCAGGTGTTGTGTCTTAAAGAAACTGAGATTATATCTGAGTCAGGAACCGACAAGAATGTTGTGGAAGAACTGAGGGCCAGAGTTGAAGTGCTGGAGAAACAAGTGGAGTTGCAGAGGAATGTTATAACAGAACGAGAGGAAGAGAAAAGAGAGGCTATAAGACAACTCTGTTTCTCTCTGGATCATTACATGAACAGATATTTAGAGCTTGTAAGATCACTTTCTGACAACAAAAAGGTATCCCGTGTTAAGTAATTTGTAGAAGTGATCATATCTTTTTGAATGATGCAAACTAATATCTGACTTCATCTTAACTAGTGCAGAGCTAAGAGCTAGACACATGTTGCATCATCTTCTTCTACATGTTTTTACATTGAAAGAATTTTATAATGCTGAGGGAAAACTTTAGGATCTCACTTCAGTGAATGTATAACTGAGTTTCTTATTATTTTATTTTTGAAATTTAAAACTTTTATCGTTGCAAAGTTATAGGGGGTAAATTATTACAGGAAGGCTATTTAAATTTTAGTTTTTTTGATAACCCTTTTCCACGAATCAAACCCAGCTTTCGTGACTCCTCAGTTATAATATTAACCGTCGTCGAATTTTCACTAAGTACAATGGAGAGGGGATCTTTAAAGTTGTTCATGCCATCGCTAATAACGTGCCAAAACAATGCTCCTGCGGCTGGGCCGCCTTTTTGAGCAGACTCGTAAATGGTGTCAAACGTTGCGTTGAACACGGCGTCTCTCTGAGCCTGAGTGTAGCCTGGTATGTTCGTTGGCTTCCCGAATTCTCCTAGGATTAGAGGTTTTCGAAGTATGTTCTGAGCATCTTCGAGGTGGTCTACGAGCCATTTTCTTAAGAAGTCCAATCGAGATTTCTCATCCAAGTTTGGAAACCTGCAAAATCAATAAGTTTTGGATGATAATCAAAATGATTTTTCATATAGCAAAATTAATGATTTTAATAAGTTAATGTGTTGAAAAAAAAGAAAGAATTAGTATGAAAATGTGACTTTATCTTTGTATATTGGGCATGTAACTTACCATAAGTCAGGGTAAGAGTGAATCGATGCAAAATCAATGGCATCGAGATTGTGATTAGCGATGAAATCAGTTCCAAGAACGTTGGCTGCAACTGGATTTAGAGATGTCATTCTTTGAGGAGATGAGTCACCATAAAAGCCTTCAAGACCAGTAGAGAGGAGATGCTTTGAATCAACTGATTTCACATAAGGAGCCATTTCATTAATCCAAGCCATAAGGGTTTTTCCACTTGGATCTGCTCTGCATTGTGGCTCGTTCATAAGCTCCCAACCCATAATGGTTGGTTCATCTTTGTATGCAACTTTGGTAAAGGTATTCACTCTGTTCACCATAGTCTACAAAAAGAGATAAAATCAAAGAGATCATAGGTTATATAATTTTCGAGGATCTAAAATATATTTTTTGTTATGAGTAAATATAATTCAGTCTGAAGATTAAAGAAACCTTGACGTGGTTCTTGTAGTACTGTTTAACAAGAGGGTTTGTGTAGAAATCGTCATCTGAAGATACGTTTTGGCCTGTGGTTTTAGCCCAATCCACGTATTGTTTCCTCCCACCGAAGTCAGAATAGTTATTGACAAAGGTGATAATCATTTTTATGCCGAGTCTTTTTGCTTCTGCTATCGCAAAATCCAAACCCTTTCCACCAGGAAAAATTTAAGAGTTAAGACAAACTAATTAATTAACAATAAAAAAACATATATTTTTGAGCTGAAAAACTTCACACTTGATGATAATTTCTACACTTGAAACAATATATCTTTAACAATCGAAACATCATAACCAACAAATTCATTTTAAAATGGAATAGTTTTTGTAAATTTATATTTTTCTCTAATTGTTAAATTATTGAGTAGGAAAGAAATTACAATGATTGTTTATTTATTTAAGAAACTAAAAAAATTAGGTTTGGGTTGTAGTGCATTTGTGTTTCATATAACTAGATGAGGTTTGGGCCAAAGTTCAAACTAGTTCTCGCGGCTAACAGAAAACCAAACAAATTTTGATGATCTATATGACTTTGAAAAGCTACAAGGGTACATATATAAATAAATTTCTCTATGCGTTACTTACTTTTGAGTAAATCTCTCTATATTAAAGATCTACTTACCTGAAAAGTTTTTTCATCATAGACACCAGGGGCGATTTGGAGAGCGCGGTAGCCGCCATCGCGGAACCCCCAGGTACGGGCGATGGTCAAACCGTGAATGGTCGCATTTTGGAACACATAAGTGATCTTAAACCTTGTGGTCGGATCGGTGGCTTCGTACGCGAGCCAGTAGGCATTGAAGCCATTAGCATAAAATGGTTTCCCATTGAGAATAAATTGGACGCCTTTCCTACTCACGAACCCATCACTCGATACAGCTTTTACTCCTAGATAGCTAGAGTTTTGTGCGATCACAATCGCTAAAAACACGATAAGACACAAGTATTTCATATTCTTTTCTACTTTCTTTTTGTTTTTGTGCTCTATTCGTTTTCAACGAGTATATATAGAGGGCATAAGTGCTTTCTTACAATTGGAATGCATGAACATTCACTAATTCGTTGATTTTCATAACTATACACGTGACATCCATAATATATAAGAAAAATATTAAACAATAATTTTTACATACATATTCATTAAAATATAACAATTATTATTACTACACATAAAAAGAAAATTAGAATTTATATTTGAGAGAATATCACTTTTTATGATTTAGTTATTTTGTAATCTTTATTTTAAAACTGTTCATTGACTAACTTTCATTGCGGTCAACATGTTGATTATCTTCCTAATCAATACTGGCCAACCATTTTTATTCTTGTAATGACCTTCTTTGGTTTTTCCCTCTTGATATCAGTCAGCAAACTATATGATATTTTCCCTTGATACCTCTTTAATTTTAAAATTCAGGAGTAGCTCATTCCAATTATGCTCATTTTAGTGTAAATTTTTAGAAAGTAAAAAGTTATTATAGTGTTCAATTTGACTTTTTAAATTAAAATAGCTTACTAATTTTGATGCTGATCCACTTCTTATATTATAGAGTAAGATAACCCATATTTCGTTTAGCATTCCACAATTTTCATTAAATTCTCAAATTTTAATTGTTTAACATTTTCTTCCAAAGAAAACAGACATGTCCTTTTTCAAAATTTATTTGCTAGTATCTATAAAAGTTTAAATTTCTTCTAAATTGAAAACAAATAAGAAAATATATTCTAGAATGAAATTTGGGGAAATTTTCAAAACATTGTTTGAACAATAAATATTATTTACCGGATTTTTTAGGTGCCAAATATTACATTCTAGTATATTATAGTTTACTATATAAATTTTAAAAACGCTAAACAGAAATCACATGTTTAACGCAAACATGAATGTTAAATATAAACACAGAGATAAAAACTTTAGTTTAAACGCTAAATGCAAAGTCTATAGCAAACACAGATACAAAACATTGAAGCCGGCCAGCACAAACATAATCGATAACTCAAACACAGCTACAAAGCTAAATGCCAATGTTACTAAAAAAAAGAAAAGACACAAACGCATAATGTTATCTTGAACGCAAACACATTACAATGTGAAAATGTAAAAGCAAACAATTAACTCTAATGCTGCATAATTTATGCATACGCAAAAAAGTAAATGCCAAACTACAGCAACGCTTGATAATAGCGCTAAATGTTAAAGCTGGAAGAATGAAACTAAATATAGATGTTAAGACAATCAGTAAACAATATTTCTAAACACACACAAAACGCTAAATGCAAACGCAAAACATGTAAACTTTTGTTTTTTCAATTAAAAACCACAAAAGCAAAACAAAACAAAACAAAAACACAAATAGGCTTCAGAAAAACTAGTTTGGGAGTGGTTAGAATTTTAAGATTGTTTATACGCTTTTTTTTCTCATGAACTGGATTGTTTATACGTCAACAATTACAAAATTGAAAAATGAGTTTTCCGTTTATGAAACTTCTAAACGTAAAGCTATTATCTGGTCCCCTCAATATGATGTTTGTGGGCCACTACGAGATCGTTACTTATCATTGTGAGGCCCAATAAGGCCCACTGAAGACCTATAATGCTGCTGACTTGTTAGATAGCCATAGCCAAAGAGCAGAGTTGAGAGATCAAGAGACATCCAAATATCATTTCAGTATATAACTGAATTTTTATTATTTTATCATTAAATTACATATTGTTATTATTGTTGCAAATTTATAAATGCTATAAAATATAACAGAAAGACCCTATTTAAATTTTTAGTTTTTGATTTTGCTGACTTAACTCTATTTCCCACCAATCAAACCCAGCTTTCTTGACTGCTCACTTATAATATTGACCGTCGACGATTTGTCACTAAGTATAATGGAGGAGGGACCTGCAAAGTTGCTCATGCCGTCGCTAATAAGTTCCCAAAACAATGCTCCCACGGCCGGACCGCCTTTTTGCGCAGACGCGTAAATGATGTCATAGGTTGTGGTGAATACGGCGTCTCTATTAGCCAGAGTGTAACCTGGTGTGTCCGTTCCTAACCCGAATTCTGCTAGAATTAGAGGTTTTTTAAGAATGTTCTGCGCATCTTCGATGTGGCCTTGGAGCCATCTTCTTATGAACTCCAATCGAGAGTTCTGATTCAACTTTGGCAACCTGCGCAATTGCAAAAAGCTTAGAATGGTAGTCGATTTGTAATCCCTAATAACATTTTTTTTATAGATAGCAAAATCGACGTTATCTCTGACATATATACGCTTAGGATAGATGAATATATGTAGTTTTACATACTGATATGGATATAAAACAAACTTTTAAATTGCTATTTTGCAAAAGAAAAACTCGAAGATAAATCCCGAATGATGCATGGGTGGATATAAAAGCAAAATATATGTTTTTTCTAGGTTGATGTGTTAAACAAGGAACCAAAAAAGAGCATGAATAGTATTTCTGAAAGATTGTTTTGTCTAAATGAATGTACAGTATAAAAGTTAGTGTGAATATGTGTATAGATGGGCACTGTGTCATACCATAAGTCAGTTCCACAGTGCATCGATGCGAAATCAATGGCATCAATATTGTGATTAGCTATGAAATCAGCTCCAACTCTGTTGGCTGACACTGGATTTAGAGTATTCTTTCTTTGAGGAGATGAGTCACCATAGAAACCTTCATGACCAGTGGAGAGGAGATGGTTTGGATCAACTGATTTTACGTAAGGAGCCATTTCATTAATCCAAGCCATAAGGGTTTTTCCACTTCGATCTGAACCGCATCGTGGCTCGTTCATAAGCTGCCAAGCCATAATGGCTGGTTCATCTTTGTATGCAACTTTAGTAAATGTATTCACTCTGTTCACCATAGTCTACAAATAGAGATAAAGATATAATGGGTCCCTTATATAAATTATGGTGTAAAATATATTTTTGTTAGGAATCTTAAGAGATTAAAGAAGATATATAGTTTGGTTAAATTGTATTTTTTTTACCTTGACGTGGTACTTGTAGAACTGTTTAACAAGTGGGTTTCTGTAGAAATCGTCAATGGAAGATACCTTCTAGCCTTTACTTCTAGCCCAATCCACGTATTGTTTTTTTCCCTCCGTAGTCATCCCAATTATTGACAAGGGGGATTATCAATTTTATACCGACTCTTTTTGCTTCGGCTATCACAAAATCCAAAACCTTTCCACCAGGAAAAAAATGAAGACAAAACCTAATTAACAAAAAGGTGACAAATATATACGTTGAAAAGGCTTCATACTTACCTGAAACGTTTGTTCATCGTAGGAACCAGGGGCTGTTTGGAGAGCACGGTATAAGGCACCATCTCGGAACCCCCAGGTGCGGGCGATGGTCAAACCGTGACTGGTTGCGTTTTGAAACACATTAGTGATCATAAATCTTGTGGCCGGATCGGTGGCTTCGTACGCTAGCCAGTAGGCATTGAAGCCATTGGCGTAAAATGGTTTCCCATTGAGAATAAATTGGACGCCATTCCTGCTCACGAACCCATTACTCGACGCAGCTTCTACTCCTACATAGCTTTGTGCGGTCACAATCGCTAAAGACACAATAAAACACAAATACTTCATATTCTTTTCTACTTCTTTTTTGTTTTTGTGCTCTTATCGTTTTCAACGAGTATATATATAGAGGGCATAAGTGCTTTCTTACAATTGCAATGCATGAACATTCACTAATTCTTGGATTTTCATTATTACACGCGTGACATCTAGTAAATAAGAAATCATCAATATACAATATTTCTTACATATAATTATCAAAATAATAACAGTAATATATTCTTCTTATTATTATTATGATTTAGTACCTACAATAAGAACAAATTATAATATATATTTGAGAGAATATCACCTTTTCATTAATAATAATATATAAGTTATTTTGTAATTTTTAACAAGAAGTTGTTAATTGTCTAACTTCCCATTGTCGTCAACATACTGATTATCTTCCTAATCAATATGGCCTGAAGAATTGGGCCTATTTGATAAAAATAAATAATAAAAATAATAATAATTGGGCCTATATTTTTATTCTTGTAATCACTGTCTAAATCATTGTCTGTCTTTGTTCTTTTCCCCTTGATATGAGTTAGCATAGGTAAAAATCATGTTACATTAATAATATTAGTTGAATTATATAAATTCCAATTTCAGTGGTAGTTATTATTTCCAATTCTGCTCATTTTAATATAAATTTAGAAAATAAAAGTAAATTCTGAGTTCTATTTTAACTAAAATAGGATTTTTACCAAAGTTCAAGTGCTGGAGAAGCAAGTGGAGTTGCAAAGAAATGTGATAACAGAACGAGAGGAAGAGAAAAGAGAGGCTATAAGACAGCTTTGTTTCTCTCTTGATCATTACATGAACAGATATTTAGAGTTTGTAAGATCACTTTCAGACAACAAAAAGGTATGCCTTGTTAAGTAATTTGTAGAAAATCATAAACTTGTAGAAGAGATCACTAGTTGCATTTTGAAACGCATTAGTGATCTTAAATCTTGTGGCCGGATCGGTGGCTTCGTACGTGACCGAGTAGGCATTGAAGCCATTGGCGTAAAATTGTTTCCCATTGAGAATAAATTGGAAGCCTTTCCTACTCACTGTTAGTTTCTTTACCAAGTTATCATCTCAGGTTGCTAAAGATTCAGTCTTTTGAGTTTGTTGATGTTTGTTGCAGGAAAGAAAACAGAGACGCAAGATTTAACGAGTTCCCATGACCAAATCAGTCATGGTACGTCTCGGAGAGTCTCAACCAACTCTCAAGGCACTAAGATCAGTATCCGGATGTTACAACCTCACACTTAGCTCACAAGTCTCTCATCCTCACCCAAGAATCCACTCTAGATGTTTTTTACCAAGAAGAACAAGAAGATAAGTGAAAACCCTCAACCCCTGTTTTCTCTCAAACTCTCTCTAGAACTCTCTCTCTCAGATGAATACAAAACAGTACTACACACATCCTGCCTCTGCACCAAAACGTTCCCTCACACTGCCGTTTCTTTCTCTTGGACTCAAGTCAACAGCAGACTCCGATTGGGCCTTTACCGGCCCATTCCCTTAGACTCAAACCCAGCCCGTCTAAAGTCCAATCACCTGAAACGACAATTCACGAACCCATCACTCGACGCAGCTTCTACTTCTAGATAGCTGCCTGCAGTTTTGTTTTTGTGCGATCACTATCGCTAAAAACACGATAAAACACAAATGCTTCATATTCTTTCTTTTTTTTTTTTTTTTTTGTGCTCAAATTCAGTGATTATGTAGTTATATATGGAGAGTATTAAGTGCTTACAACTATAATGCATGGACATTCACTTATTCGTTGATTTACATAACATATATAATTATACACGTGACATCCATAACAAATAAGAAATCATTAATAAACAATAATTCTTACATATATTTATCAAATTAGAACAATAAATCAATAATATATTCTTCGTATTATTATTATGATTTATTACCAACAATGAGAACAAATTAGAATTTCTATTTGAGAGAATATCACCATATCATTAAAATAATAATAATATATGGTATTTTGTATATTTAACTAAAAATTGTTAATTGACTAACTTTATTGCTGTCAACATACTGATTATCTTCCTATTCAATATGGGCTTAATATGGGAATATATTTTCATTCCTGTAATCACTATCTTTGTTATTTTCCCCTTGAGATCAGTCAGCAAAGTAGGTAAAAATCATGTTATTTTCATTTTATTATATTAGTTGACTTTCAATAACTTTCAATTTAAAATAAAAGGTATTTCTGAGTTCTATTTGATATTTTAACTAAAATAGGATTTTTCCTACCAATTTTAACTATCCATTTCTTATCATACATTATCATAAAAAATATTAGAGGGGCGTCAGAATATAACCCATGTTTCGTTAGCATTCTAAAATTTACATAGAATTCTGAAATTTTAATCATTTAATCTCATGTAAAAGAAAAGATAGTGTCAAAATTTACTATTAATAAAATTTTGAATTTATTCTAAATCAAACCTAAAAGAATAAATATTTTCTAAAATGAAATTTGGGCAAATATCATTGAAGATATTTTTCTTAGAAAAAGAGGTCAATATAAATGTGAGTTCGAGCGCCAACTTAAGGATTCTTCTTAGTTTTTGTTTTGAACTGGATTGTTAACTGTTTATCAAAATTTCTTTACGTGGTCCAGTGGACGATACGAGGCCCAATAAGGCCCATACACTGGCACTGCCAAGTAGAAAATGAAGCAGTCCGTACTCCGTAGATTAAGGGAGTTGTTATGGAAGTTGCCACTGAATGCAAACACGAGAAGGGCCGTTCAATATTAATCATCCCCTATATATTAATAAATATGAGAAACATTTTTTTAAAAAAACCTTACCATTATGTGTTATTAACAAGATTGTCACGTTGATATGTCGCTTTCACAATGATTTGGCTTATATTTAGATAATTACCCAAAATTTATTAGACTATTTACAGAATTTGCCATTAGTCTCATATATCCATATATCTCATTAATAATTAAAAACATACACTTTTTGTTTATCTTATATTACTATATTTTTATATTTATATTTTTCTTTATATAAATTTTCTTTAGCAGATGGGTAAACAATCTTTTTATTTATATTTATATTTATGTTTATATTTAAATGATAAAATATATACATTTGGTTCAAGAATTTCGAATTCAAAACTACAAAATCTTTACATCTTTCATAAATTTTTTACTTAAATAAATAAGATAATCTCCTTTCTATATATGTTACGAATACTTAAAATCCACTTAAAATCCTATTTTTTGGAGGAGTTCTAACATTTCGAAGAAAAACATTATAACCACATTTGTATATAAACCAAATTCTGGCCACATTATAACCATTTCGTAAATAATCCATTCATAATCTAAGAATCTTAGATTTGGAACACTACAAAATCTTAGCTTGGAAACTATCAAATCTCATCTTTGCTAAATTTTGGATTTCTTATACTTATTAAAAAAAAAAAAATCTTTTTATACTACAAAATCTCGAAATCTTTAAAACATACGGAAAGACATATTGCCATAAATGGTAACATTTCGTCAATACTTTTTTATTATATTGAAGCTTTATTCAAGGTTCAAATATTTCACGGGTAAAACCTATTCTTATATGAAATAGTCCCAAATTTGAATAAAACAAAAAAAAAATTGTAACATGTTTCGTTTTACACAAACGGATCTTGGATCCCGGATAATAATTTTAATCATAATAATTTTACTTGAATCACTTCATCCCGCATATCGTGCGGATTGTTATCTAGTTCCATTATATTTTCAAATATTGTTTTTGGTTTTTACTTTTACCAAAAATAAGGGGTAAAAGTTTCAAAACACAAGAAAACAACACTACAAAAAAAGTGTGCATTGATAGCACTACACGATAGCACGGATTCTCTAATTGCTATTAAAGATGGTATGCAGAATTTTGTAACTATATCATAGCGTTTCAAAAAACGCTAAGACGAATAATAGCAAAGCGGGAAGCAAAAATACTTATGACCGCCAACAATTTTCCAAACTATTTGATTTAACGCCCGCCATTAAAAAAAAAAAAAGAACTCTTAATGACCTAGGTCATAAGACTTAACTTCTAGTTTTTTTTCTAAGTCTTTACTCGTCGTCTTCTTCTCTAAAAAAAGTTCTCTCATCTCTAGATCCACACCACCGCCTAGCCACATACCTTTTCAGTTGGCATGGTCTCGTCTCCTCCGTCTTCCACCGTTAAAGGTACCAGTCTATTCCTCCTCGTCTTCTCTTCACATCTTCTTCTTCTCCCTCCCTTCTCGTCTTCACTTCTTGATGAAATTCAGCCTCATGGATTTGAATCGGTGTGTCAAGGAGATGAATTCGCACAAGATAAATTGAATCGGTAAGGAGATCGGAAACCAGATGGTGGTGACAAGAAGGAGAAGAAGTTCGAACGAGCCGCACCACCTGCTCGTGTTGGGAGGAAGCAACGGAAGCAGAAAGGACTTGAAGCGGCGGCTAAATTTCAGACCGTGACTCCTACTAAATGAAAGCTTCGATTGCTTAATATAAAGCGATTAGTACATAAATGATTGGATCATGACCCTCTATTTCCCTGATTCGAGTAAGTTCCTTCATCTTTCTTGATTGGGTTGTTGAAAAATTGTAACTTAATGGTTCTACTCCGAGTTAACTGTTCTAATTGAAAACTGGAAACTTGAGCAGAAATACGAAGCTAGTCGAAAAGCTGAATGATGCATACAAGAAATTCATGGATTTGCCTAACGACTTATTTTTCAGTTTTGTCTACGACTCTAGCATGGATTGTTGAGTGTTATATCTTTTTAATATGTCTTATGCTTGCTTTGATTTGTTGTTAATATGTCTTTTTAAGGAGATGAAATCCACCGATAGCCTGGTATGCTTCCACTTTCTCGTCTCTCATGCTAGTAAATTTATGCTTGCTTTGATTTGTTGTTATGTAATTGATTTTATTTTAAGGGGTTACGTTTTTAGAGTTCTATTTGCACACAAGGTGTTCGACGAATTGACTGTGAGACAGAAACTGAGAAACGACTCTCTCAACATGTCTTCCTATGATGATCTTTCATGTTTGCTAATTGAATGTAAAAATTTGACCTTTGCTTTTGTAGTCTAAAATGGTGGACTATATCCTTGAAGTCTCTAATCCTATGAAACAGCACTTTGAGGTGAGTAATATTTTTTGTCTGTAAGCTCTTAGTGCTAAGAAGTTTGTAATTGTGATTTGGCAGCTCATTTTAATGTGGAGGGTTTTGGTTATGTCCAGTTAACACTATAACCTCAAGTTTTGTGAATAGAAAAACGTCTATAGATTAAGACCACCACTAGGTAACTAGAAACTCTTCATTCAAGGTAAATATTCTTTACTTTCTTAAATTATGAATCTTGTGCCATTTACCTACTTAATGAGGTTTGTCTTCAAATAATGCCAGAGAATGGCTCTGCTTTCATGTTCGAAGAGAGATCTATTAATAAGATGGTAAGAAACTGTCTTTATTTATTTATTTATGTGGTCATATATAGTTATGTAAAGCTATTTGCTTTCAATTATAAGAGACGTCTTGACTCTAATCCATGTTTCTTAGTGGTTTAGTTAATGGCCACATGTGGGTATCAAAATGTTGTGGTAATTTTGTGTTGGTATAGCTATTATCTTTCCATGGAAGATTTTTTTCTCTCTCTCAGGTTTAGTTCTTTGTTTTAATTCTCAGGTTGTTGGCATTCTCTCTTCATGCACCATCAAAAGTGTGTTCTTGTAGACACTCATGATGTTGGTAATAACTGTAAGGTCACAGCTTTTATTGGAGGTATAGATCTTTGTGATGGCCGCTATGACACACCTGATCTTGAAACTGTGTTTAAGGATGATTTTCACAATCCTACATTTCCTGTGAGTTTATGATTATTCGCTGGTTGTTTCAAGCTATAATCCTAATTCCTTATTTACTTTTGATTTGTTTCTATTTCTACTTCCTCAGGCTGGTACTAAGGATCCAAAACAGCCTTGGCATGATTTGCACTGAATGATAGATGGGCATGCGGTCAATGCAAGAAGGACGTCATTGTAAGGAGGACATAGAGAACATGACATGGAAATGGCAACAATAGTCTAGAGTATTGGATTAAACTTTGCTAGGGCGGATAATGACCAAGAGATCTTCCTCTTCCAACCTCTTCTTCTATGAACTACAAAGTGATGATTTCAAGGTAAAAGTTATGGCTGATGGCACGTGAATGCTTTGTTTAGGCGGTAAGATTTAGAAAAGAAAATTTGTTTGATCAAGTTAGTTGATTGTGTTTGGTAGAATCTGTGATTGTCGATAGGAGAAGTTTGTTTCTCTTTGCCCCTTATCTCATAAATTAGTACTCTTGTTATTTAAGAGTCGTTGATGTATTTATATAAGATTTGGTTTGGATTAGTCTTTTGTAAGGACTTTGTTTTTAATGGATTTTCTATGAAATAAAAATATATTTAAATATATATTTTTGACCAGATTTAATTTATATAAAAATATATCAAATATAGAATTCAAAACGTGTCAATTTTAATTGAAAAAAATAGAATCGAGAAAATGCTATAACATAATATATCGTGGCATATTTAATGAGCTACAATTGAATCGAATATAGCATTTAATTAACGTTATGGTAGTGCAACTTATAATAGCATTCCAAAAAATGCTATCGTAGGGGAAACATCTACCATAGCTGCCGATGTCATAGCATTTGTGATTTCGCTATCTATAACGTAAGATAGCAGATGTTTTGCGCTATCAATGAACAATTTTCTTGTAGTGCAAACTCCCATCATCACATTCTTTACGAATTACTCGCTCTTTTTTTTTTTTTAAGAATACTTGGATCGTAATTGTTGCATATTGAGTTTGTATTTCTTCCGTTTTTAAGTATTTTTTGGTTGGGCTTCCGTTTTTAAATAAATGATGTATTGGTTGCGCATGTAGTAAAACTATGATTAAACTATGGGAAAAATGTCGTTAAAATCCTCAACTTATTCAAAACGTTGATTTAAATCCTCAACTCATGACGAAACGAAATAAATATCAAACTTATGTTGACTTTCCAAATAAATATTAAACTTATGTTGACTTTCCAAATAAACACCAAACTTTCATTGACTTTCCAAATAAATATCAAACTTCCGTTGACCTGACCATATTAGGTACGACGTTAAGTGGGTTAATAAATCCTCAACTCATGACAAAACGAAATAAATATCAAACTTATGTTGACTTTCCAAATAAATATCAAACTTATGTTGACTTTCCAAATAAATATCAAACTTCCGTTGACCTGGCCATATTAGGTACGACGTTAAGTGGGTTAATAGATCTCGTTAACGGAGGTAATTTTTTGTTAACATATATGTTAATTGATAACGACATTGTTTCATATAACAACAAAACGACGTCGTTTTGTAGTAAGGATTGAATTAAATCCCTAAAGTCAATCTTAGATCCCCAAATCGAGCAAAATCCATAACCCTAAATAGAGTATGATTTGAAACTCGGGATTGTATTGAACAGTTACGACAAAACAACGTCGTTTTATGTTTAGAAGGAATACTTGTTAGTGTTTTGATCAACAAACGAACTATGTTTTAACAGAGTATGAAGAACAAAACCAAAATGAAAAATAGAGTATGAAGAAACTTGATCTTTGATAAGATAAAATGTATTACACACAATGATGTTATTGAGTTTGACTCGATCTACTTATACAACACGAAACAACGTGTACGTACATGTGTTAATCGAAAAGACACAACTTTACGAACAGACACAACTATACGTACGTACATTCGTGACTTTTACGTAAATAACTAACTTATATGAATACGACTTTATGTTATATGACTTAGATGATATTTGATTATAGTTCAACAAGACTGTCATTTTTAATTAGCGGGTCTGTTAACAGAAAATTAATCCCGTTAAAATTGTCTGTTAACTCACTTAACGTCATGTCTAATATGGCCAAATCAATGAAAGTTTAGTGTTTATTTGGAAAGTCAACATAAGTTTAATATTTATTTGGAAAGTCAACATAAGTTTGATATTTATTTTGTTTCGTCGTGAGTTGAGGATTTAAATCAACGTTTTGAATAAGTTGGAGATTTTAATGACATTTTTCCAATTAAACTATCTACATAATATAATTATGACATTTTTTTAACCAAAACCTTTTGGATCTTAGATCCATAATCTTCTCGGAACGAGACCAAATCCGGTTAATCAAATCCATTTTCCGTTGTCGATACTAAAACTCCAAATCTTGAAAGTTCTCCTACTTAGCTGATCAGTACACCAGTTAAAGTGTTGACACTTGACACCGTATCTTTCAATTATGTAATTATTTTCAAACTAATAAAACGTAAAAATTAGCAAAGACTGGCTTGATTTCAAGAAAACCCATCACACTAAATTCACCAGCACAAGAATATGTGTAAATAATCACATTAGTTTGCACACACAAAAAAACAATTATGAAACCAACCAACAAAAACCAAGCCCACTTGAGAGAGCATAGTTAAGAAATCACCATCATGTCCCTATACGATGGAAACTACCATGTCATCGTCCCGCCGGGAAACAGCCATCGGCGACGGCTGCTCATCAAGGAGTATTGATTGTCTACAAGTGGGGCAAGAGGAACGTGAGAGCAACCAAGTATCGATGCACCTCACGTGGAAGCCATGGTTACATTTAGGCAAAACCCTAACTTTTTCCCCGTCTTCGAAATCTCCGAGACAGATCAAACACTCCGTAGCTTTCATGTCAATGATTCCTGATCCGTACAATCCCACGGGAATTTGTTTCAACGCCTGTTTCTTGAGCCCTGTGGCAGACGCTAAACGTCTTGAATTTGCGTTTGCGTTTGAAGCGTTTGCGACTTGATCATCCGAAGTGAATCTCCGAGTTATGCGTAGTACACATCGCAAGGCAGAGTTGAGGCTTAGAGCACAGATTAAAGCGCAGAGTAAAGCAGCTAAAATGATGACCATGTTAGTGTCGAAGTAGGTATCGTTTATGCCTCCTTTGGGTTTGGGGTTTGCGTCGGCGGGTGCGTTTGCTTGTGGCTCAAGTAGCAACCGACCCATCTTTTGAGGTACGCTTGAGAAGCAGAGGAGAGAACAAAACTTGAATTACTTCACCTTCAAGATTCGTGTCGTTGTTGGTCAAATCGAATGACAAAAGAGATGGAGAAGAGAGAATCGATATCCCTCACCCTCATGTTCTTAAAAAACTCTCAATTAATTAATCTCTGCACTCTTCATTTCTGAGCTTTGATCTTTTTTTCTGATTTGTTTCTGTCTCGTGAGTCGTGACTTGTGTGTAAAGATGAGGGGAGGCAAAAATATTTATGTCAAGATTGTGATAAAAAAGAGTCATAAATGAATTTATGGGCGACTCTGTTATAGAGAGATGATGATGTGGTTGGACCAAGATTTTTTTTTTTTTTAAGTAGAAATTTTTTGGTTTGAAAAAATTACTATTATTTATATATATATATATATATATATATATATATATATATATATATGTAGCAAGTGAATGGTCACTTTTAATTTTGTTTGTATTGGTTGATGTCAATTTTTTTTTTTGCTCTACTATACCAATGTCAATTTCTAGCCCTATATATTGGTCGAGAATCAGTGATTTTCATATTAATAGAAGCAAAATAAACCTTTGATTTACAATTTCGTACAAAAAAACACAAATTAGAGCATGTAATGAGCCACTATATAATTTATACCGTAATTTGTATATCCTAAAAGTACTTATGATCTCTATATGTGGGACACTATTTTTGTTCAATTCTTTGTTGTATACTTGTATCGGTGTGTATTATTAATTTTGATAAATATAAAGGATAGAGCAAAGAAGAAGACAAATAAGAAAACGATTAGTTTAGTAGATATCAGAATTGACAACTAACAAACTCATTATTAGTGGTTTTAAGAACTTTGGAATCAAGCTAAAAGGAATTAATTCTCAGATAACAAAAAACTACAAATGAGATTTGATGTAGAAAAGAAATATTGGATTATATAAACTGTATGGTTGGGGTATCATATTCCCAACTAATCATGAAGAATATAATTAACATATCATATACATATATATTCCATGGTTTTGGTTTTCTTGTGGGTAGACACATCTTTAATAGCCAATTTGGTTTTGGTTACCAACTTGGTTTTGTGTAGTCGGTCAAGGCCAAGAGATTTTACATTTCTTTGTTCATTGCAAATATCATATGATAGTTTGTAAGAAAATTCGAAGATTATCTAGATTCCGATGATGAAATCTTATGTGTATATATGTAGTTGGTTTATGAATCGAATGGTCCATACAAAATTCATGTGGCACTTACGGGTCCACAAGTATAAGAAGTCCAATTCAAACACACTAATTAATGTAGTAATACAAACGAAATTAAATAGAATTACGAGTTCACGCAAAGGTCACAACACTTGTCTCTCTTAGCTTCAATAGTTCCATTAGTTGATAACAACACCTCAACGTGAGATCCATCAAACCCCATACACGAGTCTATTGTGTGTATTTACTATGTCTATTTATCAAATTCAAATACTTGGTTAGAAGTTGCTATGGGTCTCATATATTCAAAAAATTTAAGGAACTCGTATTTAATTCGTATATGCACAGATAACATCTATATTTATGTCTAATTCGAGTTGTTAGTTGGTAGCCATTTTAATTTATACTAGACATACAAATGAAATAAAAAGTCGATGAATTAAAAAGATGAATTCATGATAAGATTTATATATACAAGCAAATGAGTACTGTATAAAATTTGAAATATAACATATATACAACCAAGTTGATATATTTTACAGGCGAAATTTTTTATTGTAGAAATGGTTGGGAATCATGTCCACCTACAAAAGAGTGTGATATCAGTAATATTCTTTTAATTAATATAATATATAGTAGGTGGACATGCAGATTGAAGACTATATTATCATAGAATTTTTGTTTTTTTTTTTTTAATTTTTTAATATTATCATAGAATTCATTTTAGTTATATATTATACATATTGAAAATGATAGTAGTTGAAAGAAACATGAGAAATAAAAATGTGATTCGTAGGAATGCGTAATAGAGTTTGAATTATCCTCTTGGAATTGACCATGTATAACAACAGAAATGACTACACCTACTCATTCATATAGTAGTCATTACTTGTAGACTTGCAGCATTGTTTTTTTTTCCTTACTTCAGACTTGTAGCATTGTTTTTTTCTGACGTCAGACTAGTAGCATTATTAACTAATCCATATTTTTCTACAGCATTATTAAGTCATTAGCTAGTCCAATTGTGTAAGTGGGATTCTTCTATTGATAATTTCGTATTAAGCAATAACTTATGTGACGTGGACACGTGACCTAACGATACTTGGTATATGGGCTTTTAACGTTGGGCTGGTCAAATCCATCTGAAATGTGAGAATCTTGTTCTGCACAGCGACGTCGTTTAGCGAACATAAGCCAATTTCAAGCTTCTCTATTGAGTTTTTTTGACAGTGGTGTTAAGCTTTAGACAAAGGCAGAGTTAATTTAGTTAAACAAATAAACCATCTTATATTCATGATATGACGTTTAGTTATACTACAAATGGTGAATAACAAGAAAAACTAAACACAAACAAGTAATAGCATCCTCAGAATCACCAAAGTTAAGCTCATGAATCTTTATCGTTGGTTAAGCTCCATGAGAGTCTGCTTATAACATTTTCGTCCACTATTTTGTAGTGGTGAGACAACCGCCTGTGTATCGTCCCGCAACACTTGTCTACTTTGCTTTGATATTTACTGTACAAAGCGGGTATTGTTACAGATAGGATTGTCCCTGTTCACACCATACAAAGAATAAACTACATATAAGACTTTGGTTTCACTGAGTTAAAAACAGCAATGTCGCGGGAACTAAAACGATATCAACAAGCAAGATAACGGATTAGAAGGTTATGAATAGGGGAAGAAACTAAATGATTAAAAACCATAAAAGCTTTTTCTCTCATTTGCATTTTAGGATCAAGTCACTAACCAATATAAACAAGAGTGCAGAGAGATATATAGCTACCAATGGCAGAAAGAAGCCACAGACAAATCACCACCTGCTAAAGAAAAACCGTCAGACCAATAGTTCAGATGCTTAACGGTTCCCATGTCATTTCACTCAATTTCATTGTGAGTTTATGAAAGGGTTCGCTTCGTAACCTTGAAGAAGAGTCGAAAATCATTGCCAACTGTGACATCATGAGCCATTACAAGCAAGTGATTGAGTTTTATACGGAACGAAGCTGCTGCACTATTCACCATTTCCTCTGATAGAACAAGCTCTGGCAACGAATGCAACTGTCTGCTTATTAAGAGATAACAGGTAGACATCATCAGTCACATAACAGCAAAGAATTATGAAAAAAGACTAGTGAAAAGTAGAGCGCACCTTTTCCTAAAAGCAGAAACCCGGGCATGGACGAACGATATTATGATCCCGATGAGTAAGACATCTGAAGAAACAGATAAGAAAGGCAACCCGGAAAACTCGAATATAAGCCAGGCTACAGTTGATATAATGATAACACCCAAAGAAAGATGTCGTCTCCTCCATAAGAGCAAGTCAGCAGCTGCATTAAAGAACAAAGCCATACAAAATCATAACCCTCGCAAATGTCCTAAGAACTTCACAAACAGTAGCATTTTGCTGGACATATGAACTCATCTATTTCTCATTCAAGATCAAACCTAAACCTAACTTTCACCTGCCAAGGTTTTCATCTTCTACTATAACCAAAATGCTAAATGTACTTGCACACATGACGATTTCACAACCCACCAAAATCAGAAACCCTAACTATTCCAACTATCATCCCCAGTTGGCATTTTACGTTCTGTAAAACCGAGAAATTTCATCGGAAACTACCCAAATGATGATAAATAAAAAAAAAACACAAATTCGGAAAAAAAGAACTCGCCTTTGCCACCGCCCATGAACTGATGAACCGTAACTTGCCGACCCAACAATCGATAATCCGATGACGATCCTCCTTCATTTCTTCCATCGCAATCACCATCGATGTCACTTAAACTGTCCATCGGAGAATTCCAAAAACCCGAATTGACACAAATTCTCCGACTTCCAGGGTCCAATTCCGATCTCAACAACTCCTGATCGAAAAATTCTCACCTTAAATCTGCGATCTCAGATTTTCCGAGAAGAATGATGGTTTCTGAGCCAGCAAAAGCAACTAGATTAATCGGAGAATGACAGCGATTGGGTGGATTATCAAGGAGGAACCAAATAAAATTGGCTTTTACATGCATCGATTTTCAACATTTGGAATTTCTCCGATTCTAGTCAACTTTCTTCATTTCTTTATATTTTCCTCGAATCAAAATTATACAGTAAATAACAGCCGTCACAAAAACAAAAACCAAAAAAAACAAAAATCTTAAGGCCTTGGGCTTACTAGTCCAATATTTTGGCCCATTATAAGGACGCAGAACCACGATCACATGTCTACGTGTCAAACTGTTACTTAATTTATACGTGACAGGCAGTGAATTTATCGTTCCCTTCCACAAACACATTTTCATTTTTGAGGAAGGAGAAAGAATCTTCTTCACTGTGTGGTCTATCAATCAATCCAAAGCAACAATGGCGATTCGTTGTGTAGCGAGTAGAAAAACCCTAGCCGGCTTGAAGGAGACATCATCGAGGCTCTTAGGATTCAGAGGGGTTCAGACTTTTACGCTTCCTGATCTTCCTTACGATTATGGCGCATTGGAACCGGCGATTAGTGGAGAGATCATGCAGATTCATCACCAGAAGCATCACCAGGCTTATGTTACTAATTACAATAATGCTCTTGAGCAGCTGGATCAGGCTGTGAATAAAGGAGATGCTTCCACTGTTGTTAAGTTGCAGAGCGCTATCAAATTCAACGGCGGAGGTGTGTGTCTGACTTTTATTTTTATTTTCCGATCTGATCGATTGGTTTTTGTTTAGATGAAATTTTGTTTGATCATATTTCTATGAGTTTGATCGATTGGTTTGTGTTAGTGTTAAAAATAATAAAATGAAGATTTAACCCATATGTCTAATATTGTTAGTGTTAAAAATAATAAAATGAAGATTTAACCCATATTAAAACGGCGGATTAATAATATTTTAAATTTTCCAATCTCGAATTTAAGAGTTTGATCGATTGGTTTGTGTTTAGATGAAATTTTGTTTGATCATATTTCTTTATATGAGTTTGATCGATTGGTTTGTGTTGATTTAGTTAGAGAAATTTGCTTTGAACATAGAAGTTGATGATTAATTTTGATGACTATAGTTTGAAATTAGTATTGTTGCTTCTTGAGCTCCGAACCAGTTGGTTGATAGAAGGGAAATTTCGCAGAGAAACTATTGGAAATGAATTGAGTTTTTTTTTTTGTGGTAGAGAATGAAAATTGATGGAGTGTATTTTTATTGTGCAGGTCATGTCAACCATTCGATTTTCTGGAAGAACCTTGCTCCTGTCAATGTGAGCTTGTGTTTTGGGTTTCTGTGTATTTCTTTGATTTCGTTGTTCTGAAATTAATGGTTTGTTTTAATATAAAACAGGAAGGTGGTGGAGAGCCACCAAAAGGATCTCTTGGCAGCGCCATTGATACTCACTTTGGCTCTCCTGAAGGTCTGGTGAAAAAGATGAGTGCTGAAGGTGCTGCTGTGCAAGGCTCCGGATGGGTGGTCTGTACTCTAATACTCTAATGTCACCTTTTAATTTCATCTGCACACATTGTTCACTTTGGTGCTTTACTTATAATGACCATGGTCACTGATTTACTTGTTTCTGTTGATTGATTCAGTGGCTCGGACTAGACAAAGAACTGAAGAAGCTTGTGGTTGACACAACTGCCAATCAGGTAACTTATCCATGATCAGGAATGCGATATTGAATGTGTTCAAAAGATTTTAGCGTGGCCGCGTTCTTGATATTCATAAACATATGTGAGATAAATGGATTTTAAAGAAAAAGATTTTGTTTGGGGTGCAGGATCCATTGGTGACAAAAGGAGGAAGCTTGGTACCTCTGGTGGGTATAGATGTTTGGGAGCACGCCTACTACTTGCAGGTAACAACACTTTTGATACATTAAGACTCATGAGTTAACTTATAAGATTAAGCTCTTTAATCACTCTTTATTTCTCTCATCAGTACAAAAATGTGAGGCCGGAGTATCTGAAGAATGTATGGAAAGTGATCAACTGGAAATATGCAAGCGAGGTTTATGAGAAGGAATGCAACTGAATCGTTACACGATGACATAAGGAGAGGAACCAGTTCCAGCTCGGCTTTGTTTTTAAGGTTGTCTGAAACAAACATACAATGTCTCTTCTTTGGTTTTTGAGTTTTACTCAACTGAGTTGTGTGGTACGTTGTTTTACAATAAAAGATTTCCAAGAATAACTGTTATGTTTGTTAGAAAGCTATTGTTTCTTCTATTAAGAAAACAAAACGGAGTCCCAAGTCCTTACAATCTTATTGGTTTAATTACATCATTTCAATAAACAATCACTAATTTCTTCGTTTTAATTATTCGACCCATATATGACAGGGATATTATAACGACGAAATTTGAGAAATAATGCCATACACTAGTGTAATAAAAATGCACTATCTTGTGTCTGCGACAGACTCTGCGTTGTGGAAAATGGATCATGGTCAAGAGGTCTCATAAAACACGCGTCAATTCAATTTACATATTTTGGACTAACTTTTGATCCCTTACGCCTTGGCCCCTATAATTTTAGCTCTTTCTTGGAAGTTACCCCAAAACAAAAACAATGTCAATTTCAATGGTAGCCTTGACAACTTTTATGCGTTTTAACTTAAAGACTTTCGTAGTCATAAAACTGATAAATAATCATAGGAATTAGTAAAACTGATTAACATTTATCAAACAAATATTGATAATCTGATTTTTGATCATTTCGATTAAAAATGACCAAATAAAATCCTAATTTTTCGTAAACTACTAGAGTAATTTTCTGTAATACATGTAACATTTACAACAATCTCTATATGAAAATGAAAAATCAAAGAATCTCTAAAGGACAAAAAAAAGTAAGAATTAGGACAGAAAACTCGACAAAGAACAGTTCTAAGTCTTGACGTCGTTAGTTTTCTTGCTGGGCCCAGACCCCGGACGATTCCCTTTCGGAAGAGCATTCAACACCAAGGAGCCGAACTTTCCGGCGACAACTTCAGGAACAAAAGAAGAGTATTCCGTCTTCGTCTCCTGCTCCTCCGCAACCCACCGCCGTCGACTTAGAAACAGGAGGTATCTCTCCGGAGAATACGACGTCATCAATGACCGGAAGAAACTCTCCGGGTAAGATCCTGGCCGTCGATAGAGAGACGGAAATGAAAAGAAGAATGATCAAAAGTAAAGATCTGTAAATCGCCATTCGTAAAAGTCTTTTTGTTGCGGACTTTTTCTTGTTTTTGGAATTAGTGAAGAAGTGGGTGAAGATAAAAGAGAGAGTGTATAGAAATATATATACGGAGTTTGTGAAGGTGAGAAGAAAGGTCAACGGGAGTTGGAAAACTTACGCGGCAAGTGTCGGACTTGAAAAAATAGAGAGTTGAATAAATCGGTCCTTTCCATTGAGTCCAACTAAAATATCATTTTATTTGTAACGAGTTACAATTTTAGTTTTGTTTTTAAAATTTCTAAACGTGTGTGGTAAGCTAAAAAAAAACATTAAAAAAATACAAGATTCGGTTAGTGTATAATACTGTAATGCATATTTTCTATTCGTTTGTTATTCTACCATTAATTTTCTGTTTTACGACTCTGCTAATTCAATGTTTACTTACTAAAAAACACAAAATAATACAAATGCTTACTATATTGACGGTTTTTTTTAAATGATTTTTCCAACTTTTATATATTTAATTTTTTACAAATTATATTTTACAATATGTTTTCTTATTAGTTGTATTCATTTTATTTAATGGTGTTTTATGTAAAAATGATAAACTAAAAAAAAATTATGTTTTATATTTATGTGTAAAAACCTTAAATATCACTTAAGATGATACATTAGGAGTATATGCTTACCATATTAAATATTTTTTTGATATATAAAATTATGAATTTATTTTTAAGTTAACTTTCTGCTCCTTTTTTCCTTTTTTATGTGCAAGTTAACTTTCTGCTTTTCACAATCAACAAAGATGCTATATTACAAATAGGGTTTAATGTTTTATTTATATTAAAATAAAATATTACAAAACAAAGAGTGAAAGAGACCATTGAGAAACAGAAAACGTTTATAGATGAGTCGGAAATATGATACCCATTTATTATTGTGCTTATTTTGTTTTGTCAAACTTATTGTGCTGAAATTGATAGATTATTTTATAGAGTATGATAATGTATTACATAAGGACATTTTGAATAACATTCACGAGTTTCATCATCAACTATACTATTAACAAGAACATTAAACAGGTATGCAACTATTGCATCTATTTTGAAAAGTTTGTGTATTTTGTTGTGTGGATCAACAAACTATATATACAAACATTTTCATGAAACTAAAAACATTAGTAATAAGGGAAAAAGCTGAACAAAACATTTTCTTCAATACCAATTTGTTCAAATAAATGAATGTACTACATATCAAATAAAAAAAAAAAAAAAGAAGATCACCAAAAGCCGAAGCCCACCGTCACTTTTTAAGTCATTAATGGAGTTTCCAACTGCTACCAACAAAAGACGAAGCCCACCGTCACTTTTGACCGTGTCCTTCTTCTTGTTCCCCAAGTCTCTCCCAACACGCTCACACTCTCACCGTCTCACGCACCAAATACAGACATACACATGCTTTTACACTTATATTAACGTGTGTGTGAATATATAACTTTTGTCTCTTTAATTAGATGAGCCAAATTTTCAACATTCGTTTGTAGATAACACGAATGTCATTTATTAGATGTTGCGGTGCAACTTTATGGTTGCTCATGAGAGTTGAAAACATGACTTTTATGCATAGAAAGCGGGACATATTTTCTTCTTGTTTAAGCCTAAAGGTAAAGAAAAAGCAGAGTTTATATAGTCTTGATAGATTCTCTAAATTTTTATGGGGTCGTTCGAAAACACATTGACCATAGGCCAAGAATATTGGAACATTTACATGAGCTAAGTGCTTTTCTTATGAAAAATCTCCCTAGATCCGATCACCAATTCTGATGAAAACCAAAGCCAAGTGTTGTGTTGACTCGTGCCATCACTTTACCGAATAACAAAACAGTGAAATACTTCATCTAAGTGCATGTATATAGACTTGTAGACATTGACAAGAAGAACCACAGGGTTCATTACAACAAGGTGGATTAATACGCAGAAGAGGTTTTGTAGTCATCAGTAGCTTTAGAATATACAGAAGTCTAGATTTTATTCGAAATTATACATATATATGCTATACTGATTTTCAGGTTCCACGGAGGGCCCGAACACGTTCTTGAATCAACTTCCTTTCCCAATCGGCAATGTCCTCGAATGCGTTCTCAGGGAGACTCTCAAAGGGCTCTTTCCAGGGATCGTTCTTAGCCAGATCATATGTTGCGCCGCGGATGGCTCCTTTGTTAGGCCCACATGGACGCTTTGATACCAAATTGTCATAAGCCGTGTTAAGCTGTTCGAAGCACAGAATCAGAACGCAAAAAAAGTTTGAAACTTTCTTGTAGTGAAGTTGAGTGAGACTTTTTAACTTACGTTCATGTCGCAGAACCAATACATATAAGCAATCGAAACCCCTGGAGCTCTTCCCAGTCCGGCTGAACAATGCACGTAGACTCTTCCTTTACCTTCTGAAACCGCCCATTCCAAAGAAGAAACAGCTTTTGGAAGTTGGCTTCTCAACGAAAGTGGATCGAAATCTTTAGCCTAACAGATTTGTAAACAAGAAATCCACAATTGATTAAAATCTCAGCTCCACATGATTCCACAGATTGACAACACAAGAAATGTTCCTTACGGGCCTTCTCATGTGACGGATTCCAAGCTCCTTAGATCTTCGAACAATGGAATCCAAATCGATTCCCCAATAGTCAATGTCCTTGTCCTGCTGCAAGTTAAGTATGTAAGCAACATTCTGTTCCTGCTTCAAGTGATCTATGTCCTCAGGTTTCTGTGGCTGCGACCCAACGATAAGTTCATCTCTTATCAATGTATAGTTCATACCTGAAAACAGGACAAAGACTCATCATATACAACCTTAGATCCACAAGAAACACTAAATCCTTGCAACACAGTCATCAATTTTCATAAATCTATCTCTGTCCATGATTGTTCATCCAATGTGTTACCCAAAATTCACTGTCATAGATGCTTTTAGCTTCAAACAAAAAAACTAAAATCTTGTATCAATTTTCATAAATCTATCTCCAAGTTCAAGAAACCATAGCTTCCAGAGTTCTTGGAACTCAAACAACTAGACTCAGCTTCCATGAGAACACTCTCTCAGTTCTAATCTAATCAGAGAACAATATTCTAAAAGGAATTTCATGCACAATTTTTGAAAAAATGTAAATACCCAGATCATGATGATATTCATAAGGGCTCCTCATCAATCTCTTCATAGCTGTATTGTAATCCTCCATTTTGTTCTTGGAGCTAAGAGAAACCCCATTTGTTCTTGGATTTTCTCCAGAGATTTTGCAGGAAACTCCCGCCAGATTTCTGGGAAATCTCAGATCAATTGACGATTTCTTGTTGATAGAAGTGAAGCAAGAAGAAATCTCATTTCCTCGGGAATATATAGTCACCGAGAAAATACAGCTTTTGGTTCCAATCACACTCATCGTCCTCTTGCTCTCTCTATCTCTCGTTCTTGAAATCTGCAATTTGCAATAATTATGTCACACAAACGAAAACGACACTGTCTTATTGGGCTTTTATTAAATGGGCTTTAAAACAATAAATTATGGCCCATTAGTATAACCCTAATTCACTTAAATAAAAGTTAATCCCCTGTACTTATCGTAACGAGCAAAGCCTAGAGATCCTTCTTCTTCGCCGGAACTGGTACGTCGTCTGCTTTCCCCAATAAGCCGGCGAAAATGGTGAGTTAATATTCTTTTCATGTCTCTGAATTGAATCTCTCCAGTTTGAAAACATATTTTTCATTACTCTAGACCATTAGATAGAGAGATTTTTATGTGATTCTATCTATCTATTTGGATGTAGTGATTAATTGAACTTTCATTGCTAGATTTTGTAGAGATTGTTCTATCACCTGGGAATCTTGTTTCATTTCTATAGTCTGAGCTTGTTTTAGATTGTTTCGTTCTTTCAACTTATCTTCTTCTTCTTTTTTTTTGGATTTCAGACCAAGAGAACGAAGAAGGCTGGAATCGTCGGCAAATATGGTGAGTATTCAGAAACCAATCCTTGGTTATAGTTTAAAGTATGTAACTTTAGAATTCTCTTGATTCATAGGTTGAAACCTTGTTTCCTTGGTCAGAAGAATTCGTTTCAGATCATGAACAGAGAAGTGAAATATCTCTAACATATAGATTTACTGAATTCTCAATCTGAATCTTTTGATTTTGTGCCTTTGCAAAGGTACACGATATGGTGCCAGTCTTAGGAAGCAGATCAAGAAGATGGAAGTGAGTCAACACAGCAATTACTTCTGCGAGTTTTGCGGCAAGGTAACTCTCATTGCCATCTCTTAAGTAAATTATTGTCATTGAATTCAATACGGCTTTAAGTCTGCGAAGCTTCTTTGAGTTTTGCATTTTGTGAAAAGAAGTTTTGGTTATGTTGATTTCTGATGCAGTACGCCGTTAAGAGGAAAGCTGTTGGCATTTGGGGTTGCAAAGATTGCGGGAAAGTGAAAGCAGGCGGTGCATACACTATGAACACGGCTAGTGCTGTGACAGTTAGGAGTACCATTAGGCGTTTGAGAGAGCAAACCGAGAGCTAGATCGGAAAAAAATCATAACGGCCATCACTGAGAAGTCATTTTTGTTCGATCAAATACTGAGTTCCATAGGCTTTTTCTTTTGTTACTTTCTTGATTCATATTAACTAAGAGAAGAAGAGAAGTGTCCTATTTGACTCCTTTTTGTTTCTATATTGAACCTTTCAATTCCTATTCAATATGAAGTCAAATTCAAAAACTAAGCTCAAGTGCACCTTTACCATTGTCAATGTACTCGAGATACAGGTTTCTACAGTTTTCTTTATTTTCTCCCCAACATTTTTACACTTTTCCTTTTCAAAAAATCTACAGGAGCAACAAATCAATAATGCAATCACTTGTCCTTTCTTCCTAGGAAAGAAATCAAAAAAATCAATAGTAACAAAAATGTAAAATCAAATCAAAGAAAAATATCTAAACGTTAGTATCAATCTCACTAGCTTTGACAACTCCATTATTATCCTCTTCCTCTTCTTCTTCTTCAACTTTCTTTTTCAAAAACCCTAATTTCACCAATCCTTCTTCTCCCCAATCCCATAGATGCAACACCACGTAGCTCCCAATCCCTCCGATCAATCCATACGCGACGGAGTACGTCAACGGCATTAGAATCATTGTCACGAATGCCGGAATCGCCTCTCTCATATCTTCCCAATTGATCTCCGTCACTGATTTCATCATCATCACTCCAACTAATATCAACGGCGGACCAACCGCCCAAGCCGGAATCGAAGCTAGCAACGGCGTGAAAAACATCGCTAAGAAGAAATAAACCGCCACCGTAATCGCAGTCAATCCCGTTCTTCCTCCTTCACGTATCCCCGTTGACGATTCGATGAAAACCGTCACTGGAGATGTACCAAGCAACGATCCGATCACAATCGCAGACGCGTCGGACATAAACGCGAAATACTGTCCGGCGAAATCTCCTTTCTCGTCGACGAATCCGGCGAATCTAGCCATGGAATAAAGCGTTCCCGTCGTATCCAAAATATCAACGTAGAGGAATGTCACCAGAGCTTCCCAGAAATGTCCTTTGTTTATCCCGGAGAAGCTTAAAGCTCCGGCGGTGTGTTTGATGACGTGTACATCAACGATCTTTTTGAAATAATCATGAGCTGCGTCACCGGCCGATGTGTTTGGAAACGCCGTTACCTCTGTGTTACGGAACCACGAAACGGCCGTTACGAAGACGATCCCGTAGATCATCGCTCCTTTCACGTTCTTCACCAAACAATAAGCTATGATCACGAATCCGACGATACCAAGCCAAAACGTTGGACTCTCCATTCGTCCGTGAAGACACATAATATCGCCGGAAACTGATCCTCCGACGAGTAAACTAACGGTTCCGTTAGCTGACGTTATAACGGGAGCTAATGATATTCGTGATGAGGTTGGACAAGCGGCGAGAGTGACGAGTGTTGAAGGACTATAACCGACTAAACCGATTCCTTGATTGTTCTGTAAACCGATGAAAGCGAGGAAAAGTCCGATTCCGGCGGAGGAACTGATTCTGACCGGTTTAGGAACGAGTTTCGCGAGCTTTGCTCTGAAACCTATGGCGGAGATGAAGAGAAAGATCAATCCTTCGATGAAAACGGCGGCGAGTGCGGTCCGGTATGAGATTGAACCGGATCCGTGAAATCCGACGACGGTGTAAGCGAAATAAGCGTTAGTTCCCATTCCCGGAGCTAAAGCTAGAGGAAGATTCGCCATCAATCCCATGATTACACAACCGATTAGTGACGCAGCTACGGTGGCGACGATTAGATCCTTTCGAATTCCTTCAACACATGTGGCGTAACCGGGATTAACCGGGTTGAATTTACAGGAAACGTCGGGTTGGATCAATCGGAGACCCGGTCCGGTACACTGAGAAGGTTGAATCGTTGGGTTTGAGCAGAGAGGGATACAATCGGAAACAGAGCAAGTTCCACCGGAATCAGAGAGGATTGAAGCGTTGACGGCGAGGATATAAGCCATGGTTAAGAAAGTAGCCGTACCAGCACGGAGCTCCGTCGTGAAAGTAGAATTACGTTCGGCGAGTTTGAACCGTTTGCCAACCCGGCTCGAACCGACGTAGGTGTTGAGCCGGTTTAGTAGCTTGGGCTTGGGTCTAGTAGTAGTAGAAGGTAGTTGTTGTTGTTGCTCCATTAGAGAGATCACAGAAGTAAAAGAAAAATACAAAGTTTTTTTTTATTTTTTTGGTTACTGGTTTTGTAATCTAGTGAAGAGAACAGATTTGCTTATATATATATATAAGCAGCTATAGAGATGGTTAAGGGAGCTTTTGATATGATTAGAGAAAGAGGAAAAGATTCTGGTTAAGAGGAATGGGATCTTTAGAGACAAGTATCTCACATGTAACCATGTGTCCACGATTCTCAGTTTTATTTGTTTTTATTTTTGTTACAGGTTTGTAATATAATCTCTGGTCAGAATTATTATAATTATATCTCATGTATTCACACGTCTATTAAGGCAAGACTATTTTAGACGTTTTTTATTAAGATTTCATAGTTTTAAATCTTCGATTATTAAGTACTGTAGCTTTGTTGTATAATATTATGAAATTATTCAATGTAGATTTTTTGTATTTTGTTCGTATGTTAATTAACTATACATATCACATATGCATCATGATATTACTTGTTTATTATGAATTTATGATTATGGTGTGTATGAATATGTATGTGGCAACTACAAGCAATTGCGGCCAACAAGGTCACGTTACAAAGTTGGCTACAAAATACAAATGTGAACAACTCTTAACTAACATCTATTATATATTTGACCGATTGACTTTTGACCTATCAAAAACTGTTTTTTTTTTCTTTTTTGGTTAAATCTAATTTTCTAGATAGACGTCACATTATTCTGAGTTTTTTAGGATATAACTTCGCAAAACTAACTTTGTTTGATATTTTTGCAAGCTGATTTTCGTTTGCAAATTGAAAGTTTGTTTTCGGAGAAATTAGAGTGTTCAAAGGCATTACGGCTTACAACGATTTTTTTTGACGTAATGACATGATCATAAAATTGTATCATAGGAGATGATAATTTCCTTTTTTAAATGGATCATCGTTTGAGTCATTTTGAACTCAATTTGTTGGTGGGGAAGTCAAAGATATCGGTTTGACTACAATATCGAGTAAGTTGGTTTATTTAATCGTATCTTATTAGAAAATCTCATTAAACTACACTAAAACATTTGGTAAATCACAGGAAATACTAAACTAAAAGATTACCAACTCATTTTTGTAATAAAAACAATTACCGGATTTTTAAAACCAAAATCCGGCCACTAAGTCTAAAGTCGATAACATACTGTAGTAAATTCTTACTAGTAATCACTATTTTTAAATAATTTTATTGTATGCTTCGATATAATATTCCTTAACATAATCTAAGTAGACGTCACGTCACATTGATCAAAATATACAGAATTCATTCATTTTCTTCAACAGCACGTGGACATAAATAAATCTGAAGAAAATTACTCTTTCCAATTTCTTGATAACAAAATGTTTTAGTACTGCCAATAAATGATATTTTCGCCCGATCTATTATAGTCTTATCAACAAATGGTATTTGATACGTAAGGCAAAAATAACTATACATAAGAGAATCAATCATCTGTTTATGTGTAGTTATTTTGCTCCGATATGAAGTAGGTAGAGTTAGGGCCTGACTGGTTTAAAAGCAGCGGTTGCGGTTGCGGTTGCGGGAGTTTGCAGAAGTGGGCGGTTGCGGCTTTAAGCGTTATCAAGCGTTTTGAACGACTGGTTTAGCGTTTAAAAATAGGTGCGTTTGCGGGAGTTTTATGACTGGTAACCCAGCGGATGCGATAGCAGTTAAATAAAAAAATGACCAAAATAAATAAGAAATATTACAAAAAAAA